CAAAGCAGGGAAGGGTATTATATATATATACCAGTGACCAACTTCATTGGCTCCCTGGAATGACACACTTTGCATGATTCATATATATTTCAGTATCATTATTATTTTATAAATGCCATTTAGGAAGTTTGTAACCAAAATATATTAGAGCCAGAAATTTACAGTTGCCTAAAATAATAATGTAATTGCCTTTATATATTATCTGGGCACCAATATTGGTTTTTTTCCACAGTACAGTTTTTTGGGGGGTTTTTTGTTTGTTTTTTTAACATAGGGGATTTTTTGGCCATAAAATGATAGAAACTTAAAGGGACAAAGTCACACATTAAACAGGCATTTTTTTCTCATGTGTGAACATGAAAATTGATTCTACTGTAAATCAGACCATGAGGAAGATAGGAAGCAGTGAAATATTAACTCAATTATTATCTAAATCAGATGCTTTACCTGTGCCTGGCAGAGGAGCACTGAGATTTACCACTTTGGTTCTCTTTTTCTTTGGAAAAGCAGAGGATTTCTTTGCTGGCTGGGAGTTAATCTGTCCCTGGAGCCCCACTGTGCCCAAAGGAGACTTGTACCTGTCTTTATAGGGCAGTGCTAAGAGTAGTAAAATGTTTTGCAGCGTTTTATTCACCAAATTTACTGGAGTTTGTCCATTTTTGACAGTGCCTTCAGCATCACAGCCCTCCTTGGCAACTACTTTGTGCCCTGGCTGGTAAATTTTCAGGCTCATTGTGCAATGAAATGAGGAAATGCCTAAAAGCAAGAGAGTACTGACTGATGAACAGTTCTTTTAATTATTTTTAAAAGTTATCTGGTAATGAACTGGATTATATAAAGAGTGATTGTGGGCTCTGCACTACTTTTGATACCTCAGTTGAGGTTCTGGCCTTACTTTTTAACGTGGATTGTTTTCCTGCAGCTCTGTAGCAAAACTAAGAGAATGAATGGAATCTCTTATTCCTTTCCAACATAAGGCTCAGGCTTTCCTTATCCAATCCCTGCTTTGCTGCTGATTCATTCCCATGGAATAGCAGTTTTCCCTGGCACTTCCCAGTGCACAATGAAAGACTTCCCACTGCTTTGGATCACAATCTGGGAGTGCTCTTTGCAGTGTATTCTATTGATGTTACAAGGCCCATTCATTCATTAGCCCATCTATTAACATGAATATTTTAGCAGAGCAGAGTAGTTAAAATTTTCCAAAACAGCATCTATTTAAAGGTTTTCTCACCTCTAAGTGTCTTTCAGCCCGAGCTGTTTTCCAGGCAGAAAAGCAGATTTCCACACCGTGGTGTTTGACTGATCTGCACATTCACGTGCCCAGCGATAGTTATTAATGATTTCCCACCGTGAGCTTTTCTGGGAACAGGAATAGGAACAGGCCCTGGAAAATCCAGGCAGCATTAGGAAATTGCAATTTCACCAGCTTTCTAAACTGAAGAGCTCGGTTTTATAATTTACTGCTGTTAATGGGGTGTATTTTTAAAGCGGCTCAATTCCCATGATGTTCGTGTGAGTCGGGCAGAGAAATCCCCTGCGACACTTCCCAAATCCTGCCCCCAATGTGTGCTGCAGACTGAATCCTGAAAACCAGCCCCTTCCTTGGGCTGCTGACCTGTCTTCAGAGAAATGCAGAAGCACAGAAAAAGCACTTAAAGCACTAAGATTTGGGAATTAGCCCCCGTTTTTATCTCCAGTGCTCTTTGAGGGGAGCTGTTTGTTAGCAAACCGTCAAGAACGACAGGGTTGTGTTGGGAATGGGGTTCACCTTTCTCCCAGTAATGAACACTGTGCCCCTTTGTTTCAGATGCCAACGTGGACGTCATCTACATCTGCCCCCTTCCTCTGAGTGAGGAGTTACTGCAGTATTACAATAAACTCCTGGGTCTGCAGGCAGCTGTTAGATCTGGGAACCCCGAGGACATGGGTGACCTGCAGGACAGGTTCAGAATTCTCACCCCTGAAGCTATAAACAGCTTCCCCGTGAGTTTGTCTCCTAATTACTACAGCTTGAGGGATGCAGTAAAATTAAATTGGAAATTTTATAACTTGCAACGCTCTGGTACACATCAGTGAAATATTATTGCAAGTTTAAGGGCTTTACTGATTAGACTACTAGTTAGAGCATTGGAAATAAATATCCTGGTTTAGCTTTATAGGCTTGGTTGAGATAGTCCTATATTGGCTATTTGTAGGCTGCTGTCCCTCCTGACTCTGTGCTTGGGACTGGGAAGTTGATAGATTTATATCTCTAAGCAAATCATAGCAATAAACCATTCTTATTACTCAAACTTTATCTCTGGGTAGCCCAGCATTCAATCATTGCTGTGTTTGCACTGTTTCTTGCAATTAAATCCAGTGCAGAGCTTCTTAAAGAACAGAACTTAAAACAAGTTAGGTGATAATACAGAAATATTGGTTTGGAACTGAACAGAATAATACAGAAATATTAGTTTCAATAATACAGAAATAAGGGTTCCAGAAAAATAGTAGTACAGAAATATTAGTTCCAATAATACAGAAAGAAGGGTTCCAGAATAATACATAATAATACAGAAATCTTAGTTCCAAACCTGTCCATTCAGGTTTAACTCCATGTGCTAAAACATGATCTAAAAAGAGACCTTAGTTAATGTACTGTGTACAATGTTTGTAAAAATGCTGCAGTGCAGTGAAGACTTTTTACAGTGAATAGTTTTATATTGTAAATATTAAATCTACGGTGTCTTAGCTGGGATTTGATTTTTGTGAAACTTTGTGGCAGATTTAGGGTCTTTACTTGGAGCCCTGCTCCTGTTTTTAATATTTTTTTTTTCTTTTTAAATTCCATTTTAACAACTGTAGCTGATTTTTCTCTGGATACAGAGTCATTTTCCAGTACTAACTACCAAATATTGGTGTATTAGTGGTGAATTCTGTCTGGGAAGATGGGCCATCCCAGGTTTTGGGTGATACCAGGTTGAGGTTCACCCTTGACTCTTTATTTTAATCACTAAATCCTCAAATTAGCTTGTTTTCATGAACCATGTGTTCTTTACCTTCTAATAACTGATGTGTCCAAGGGATAGATCTTCTGTGTGGAGAGGAATCTGTGCTCAGAACTGATCCTTGGCCTCACTGCCAGTTCTGGCTGGGGAAGAGTTTGAGCTTTGTAAGTTCTTTTTAAGGATCTTTCCTCTGGGTTATTTAACAAAAAGCTTTTGTTGCACTTAATGTATCTACATTTATACCTAATGAATGCAAGTGTGGCTTGAAGGCCACCTTAGCAGGCTCCTTTTAGAAGCACAAATCAGTCTTGTCTAGTTTTCCAGCAGTTTTGGTGGGACTGGATGGAAGGAAAAGCTGTGGGAAAGACAGAGATGGTCCTGATTTTCCACAAGCAGAGGATCAAACCTGGATGGTGCTGGCTTTGCTCCTCGTGGGGAGGCTGATGCCAAGGGCAGCTCCTCTGATCTTGAGGAGTTTCAAACAAAACAATAACCAAGAACCAGCCCTTTGGTTCATCTCCTGACTCAGTTCTGGGGAGTCCTGCAGGAATTCTGAGGATTCCTCGGTCCTGCTTTTCCCTGCTCTCCCTCCCACTGCCATATATCATGGCAGCCATACTCTCAAAGCAGGAATGAACCAGATTTTACAGCCTGTTTCCTGCACTCCTTAATTAACTGTAAAATCCATTATTGAGAGACACAAAGCAAATCCCATCCCTCCATCCCCACTCGTGGCCCCAGGGAGGGAGTGACCGGGGCTGGGAATTGATCCCCTTCTCTCCATGGCACAGCTCTGCCATGGAACCTATGGAATGGGCAGCTCCCTGTGCTCAGGAAACACGGAGATCAGAACCTGGTTACAACACTCATGGAAGGGAAAAGGCTTCAGGAAACTTGTTTGTTGTTCTTAATGTCCTTAAACTTCTGTGGTTCCCTTTTTCCTACTGGAATTTTGGAGAGTATCCCATTTCTCTGATGGATCTCCTCCCTGTCCTTGCAGTGTCTGCTCCTTTGCAGAGAGGTTTGGGCACTTTGTGGAGCTGTGTTTGCTCTGAGAAAGCACTGAGAAGAGACAGAAGGGATTCCTTTTGCCCACTTCCAGGGGCTCCTCCATCTCATTTTCCAGCATCATCCCCATCCTAGTGATGGAATCAAGATTTATACTTCAGTCCCCGTGAAGGAACATCCAGGACTTGGAAGGAAAATATTCTGGATTCTCCAGTCCTGGAAATCCCAAGAAAATCCAGGATTTACACTATCCTGAAAAAGAATACCTCCTGGCTGAGGCCTAAATTGGATGAAATCTCAGTGGGGAGATGATTTGCTTCTTGTTAGGATTATGTTTTGTTTATGACAATACTGTTTATGACAATCCATACATGTGGATTTCTCTTGTACCCTTTTTCCGTCCCTCTGTGTCTCTTATCTCAGTGCACCTCTATATTTTTGGGAAGATAATTAGGATATCTGCAAATAGAAAACATTTATGAGGCTTCACCTGCCATGACCAGTGTCTAGTTTAAATTCAGAGGTTATAGGATATGTCACGAGCAGCTTGTTCAGCAAAGGATCTTCTTTTTTAGGAGAAATGAAAAATTCCTTGCAAAAAGTTGGAACCCTTGTACTTTAAAAAGGCACAAAACTCCTCCCCTCTCCTCGAGTCCTCTGCAGTTGTTTAGGGTTAGTTGTTAGTGGAATGGAAATGTATGTCCCCAGTAATTTAATGTGAGCACTGAAAGCTTTTGTAAATCAAAGTGTTTTATTCTCAGGGAATCATTTAAAATACCACTGAACTGTATGTGAAATACTTTCCCTGCTGTTGAGGGTGGGGGGTGTTCTTAATTTTTGTATTGATTTTCAGGAGCTCTAGAGTTAAACCGTGCCAGGAGTGTTGCTGAGATGAATCACTATTATCCAAAGGCCACCAGCCTCTCTGCCGACTGACAGAAGGATAATTCCACATGGATCAAATAAATACAGATGTGGAGTAATTAGTTCTATTCCCAATGAGGCCATTTCCAACACACTAAAGATGTGCACGATTATGGAGCCTCACCCCAACAGCTTTTATCAATTTAAACTGCTAAGCTACAGGATGGGTCATAACCCAGCCTGCTATTAATAATGGATTTATTGTGGGCAACGGCAGGAATCAGGTTCAGGGCGTAGGAAAAACACCTTTTAACAAGAGTGATGCTCTCTTTCTCCAGCAGCATCACATGTGCCTGGCCACTCAGCTCAAGTACAGTCCCAAGACAATGCAGAGGCTCCGGGTTCTCCTCCGGAGCAGGGATGCCTACGTGGTTGGGGGGGTTCCCCACGCCGATGACCTGGCGGTGGCCGACATGCTCGACGTGCCCGTGCTGGGCCCGGGGCCAGAGGTGGCTCAGCTCTACGGCACCAAGTCTGGCAGTAAAAGGATTTTTGCCAGTGCTTGTGTGCCAACCCCTCCTGGAGAATCTGACATCCACAGCAGGGAGCAGGTAAGAGGACGTGCCCTGGGGTGTGACAACGTGCGCTTGGTGGGGTGCAAATCTGGATAATTTATCTGTTGATTGGAGCCTCGCTGGGTCTGGTCAAGTCTTGTGTGAGGCTGGGTTCTTTCTTGCCTCTAACTGACCAATGAAATGCACTTTGTGCCCTAGTCAGGAAGGAATACAATTCCTCTGGGATTCTTCATGGTGTCTTGAGAATATATGTGTTTGGTCCAGTGATTGCAGAAGTTTGTGCTGCTGCTCCATGGGTGAAGTTATGGCCTCAATGAATTAGTTTTACCAGAGACTGAAGGTAGAACAAGGATTTCTGGGAAAATGAAGGGAAAATTTCTTCCACTTATGCAACCAGCTGTTCAAAGTGAGGTTCTCTGAGCACGTTTGCAGCTGAGCATCTTTGTACCCAACCTATCGTTGCTAAATTCATTGACCTTGTTGGCATGACCAGCAAGAAAAGAACAAAAGATCCCTAAATTAAAATTACAGGGCACAGGACTTTTCTGTGCTGTGTTTCCACGTTTATTTTGCAGGCAGTGCCTCAATATTTTATTCTTTAAGCTGATGTTGCAATTTGCAATGCTATGTCTAAGTATGATGTTTTAAAAACACTTTCGTGGTGTTGTGACATCTCCTGCAGGAAAATAATCACTGCCAAGGTTTGTGGGTATTCCTACTTCTTCAAGAGGCTTTTCACATTGCTTTGCTTTTTATTAATCACCTTTAACACTGAACAATCCAAGCTGCACAAATACATTGCAACTTCCATGGCAGATGAAACAAATACATGATCAATGACCTGAAAAACAGCTGCTTGATTTATTTGATTCACGTAAATTATTTAACAGGACTTTTGGTTCTCACCACAGGGTTAGGGAAGTCTTACTTCTGTTGTTTCCTTGTATGAAATATTGACATTTTAGGTTAAATAATCAAAGCAAGGTGACACTATGGTAAAGCACAATTCAATTTTCACTTAAAGATAGCACATAATTCTTTGTGATTGGTGCAGTCTTTACAGTATTATTGATCCTTTTCATTACTGTAGGGGAGCCATCAAGAAAAACGCATTTATGTGGTTCTCAAAAGCTACAAATGGAACACATGTAATTGTATTTTAGGTCAATCTTAAAAATCTAAGTCTAAAAAAGAAGGAAACAAAAGCCCCCCAAATGACTATGTAAAATGTAGAAGACTGTAGCCAATGCACCAAGATCTGATAATACTTTTACCAGGTTCAAAGTCATTTGCAGCTTCTAAGAAGCTAATTGCATCCTGCACCAGCTGGGCAAAAGGCATTTTAAAGCCATTTAAATCTGGGTACATACACAAATAAATAATTAGCATTTTTATAAAGCCTGCCTGGTAACTCCTTCCTACATTTATAACCTTGTAATGTACTCTCCAGTAGGAGAATTTCACAGCTGTTTTGGCTGGTGGGAAACTCTGGCACATTTTTGTCTCCATTTTGCAAATAGTGTCGTCCATCCCGTGTTGTTCCCTGTCACAAACATTTATTGAGCGGTTCTGATTATCCAAAACCTCAGATCCTCAGCAGACAAAGAAGCTTGGGCAGGCAAATCCCTCTCTGCAGAGTACAGGGATGCAACTCCAGCACGAAGGCCGTGGAGCCTTCACCAAAAACCATCCAGGGTTGTTTTCACCACGTATCCAAACAGCTGTAACAACACAGGCATCTCTGAGAAAATGAAACCATGTTTAGAAAATGAAACCATATTTAGAAAATGAACTTTTGAGTCCAAATGTTTGAGAGCTGGGAGCCTGAGGAAGGGTTTGATGTTGTCATTTGTGCTGTCGTTGCTCCCCAGCTGATCCGTGCCCTCAGCCAGCTCATCGTGGACAACGTGGAAGTGCAGCGCTGGGTGTTGAAGATGGATGAGGAACGTGGAGGAAATGGCACTGCCTACTGTGATGTGATTTCCCACTTGGAATGCTACCACTGGCTCCAGGAGGAATGGCAGAGCCACGGCCCTGAGGGGTGGAGTAGGAGCCAGGCACGTGTAAGTAACAAAGGAGCATCTTGGTTGTTGTGTCAATGGTCCACTGAGGGTCCTCCTCACTTAAATCTCTTCTCTGGGCCTTCATTTTAAGGTAAATGTTGGTTATTGCAATCCAGACTGGCTTGTACAAAGCAGTAGGTAACACTTAAATATTCCAAAACATAAAGGAATGACTGGCATTGTAACTGTGGGATACCTTGTGTGTCGTAACACTTCATTCCTATGCAACAGTGGGCACATTTTACACAGTTTTTATCCAAAGTGAGGACACAGAAATGAAAGTATATAGACAGCAGAGCCTATTTAATTCTGTAATTAAAATTGTAGACTTATAACCTCAGTCCTACAAACATATCTGTAGCAAATGCTATCAAAAGACAATATGATAAACTAGGATAGTTCAGCATCCATTTTCATCATAGAAACATAGAAATTTGGAATTATTGGAACAAAGAGCTGGATGTAGTTGAACAACACTAATTTGAAGCCACCTACAAACCAATTGGTTTTAAATCTGTTTCTCTAAGGATTATTTTTTCTGTCCATTTTGCCTCACTAATAGCTTTTAAACCTTTATGAGACAGAACACTTGAGGTCTTGGAGATCATTAGACTCCTGCAAGTTTCATGGGTGTTTAGGTAAGGAGAGAGATCTGTAAATATTTAACTGAGGGAAACATTATAGCATGAACTCAGGCACTTGTAGATTCCTAAGAATCCCCAGGATTGAGAGGCTGGAAGATGATACATTTCAACCTCAGAAAAATCCATATGAAACCAGCCTTCATTAGTTCTGGCATTCAGAGAACTATTTGTAGTTTAAATATTCATTGGTATTTAAATGTGTTAATTTCAATAAGCATTTGATATTTCTGTATATCTTGCCAAATTCATTCCTAATGTAATGGTTTTAAAGCCAGAAGGAATGTATCCAGAAAAATTGTTTAATTTACATAAACTACTCATTATAGCTCTTCTGATTTTTTTAATTCCATCAAAACTGTTTTGAAATTTGGGGTTGATTGAATTATATTGTGTATTAAAATTTCAAATTGTGCTGATTACAGTTCTGCTGCATTTGACAACTGCAAAGTAATTCCCCATTATAAAGCAGAGTTTATGATATAAAGCTGAAGGGCTAATTTCTAATCTGCTGAAGATCCCTCACTCCCTGCAAGTCAGGCAGGATAAAGCAGAGCCCTGGAGAGCCATCCCAGTGGGAGCATTGCCTGGGATATAAAGCTGATGGTATATCCAGGTCCTGCTCCCACCTCCTGAGTCATGGCAGCAGACAGGACTCAGCAAGTCTAGTTCTTTGCTGGTGTAAATTCCCAATATAAGTGGCATTCCCTAGGGCTGGTATTCCCATTGCTATGCCTTTTTAATTCCTTTCTGGCTAAGTGACTCTGCATAAAGGACACAGTGATCCCAACCTTTCTTTGGTTTCCCTTTATACTCCAGTGACCTTAAGCTTTGATGCAACCAGGAATCCACCCATTAACCACCCCCTTAAACATAAACCCGTGTTGGAAGTTGGGAAATACATATGGAATAATAAATTTCATCTAATTTCCTGGAGTCAGCAGGAAAGCTTCCAGAAATCCAACCCAGGATTAGAGTGGACTTTGGCAAAGTGTTGCCCAGAGAAGCTGTGGCTGCCCCATCCCTGGAAGTGTCCAAGGCCAGGTCGGATGAACTCAGAGCAACCCAGGCTAGTGGAAGGTGTCCCTGCCCATGGCCTGGGGTGGAATGAGATGATCTTTAAGACCCCTCCCAACCCGAATCATTCCATGATTCCATGACTCTAAAGTGCTGCTGTTCTGAACATCTTGAGTAGGTGTGTTCACATTTTCCTGCCTCCCTCGTTTACCCTCTTTTTGTAGCGCAGGAGACCTTTTGGATACAATGAACTGCATCTCTCCTGAGCCTCACCATCGAGAGCAGGGGATTAAAATCCTCCTTTGTTAAGGAACACCGTAGTAATGATACACATTTCAACATCAAAGCAGCAGTTTGTGAGCACAGGAATGCTTTAATGTCCTGTTGCAGTGGGGAGACCTGTTCCTTTTGATAATGAAGACGTCGTGTCACCGGCGTCGGCTGCCACACACAAAATGTGTGCTGGCAGGTTATTAAAAAATTCAGCTTCTTGATGAAAGACTATCCTGCAGGCAAGGAGTACAGTGAAAAGCCTCTCCATTCTGGTAGAATTATTAGAAATGAGAATATGACTGTGAGCACTAAATTATGTTAATACTTACAAATAGCATCATTTGCATAGCAGTTTAAGACACGATACCCAGATTTTCCTCAGTGGCATGTAGCAGGCAACAGATTAAAAATAATGTACTTTGCGAGTTTGAACTGTGGCAAAATCTCTTCCAGCTGAAAATGAAGCTGATTTTAGAGTCCTCATTTCAAATAGCACGTTGGGCAAAGCCAAGTGCAGGGCAGGGTTATGGATGGGTTTCACCTTGTTAACTTAATGCAGCCTCTGAGTTATCTGAACAATTAATTTGCAACTGCATAAAGGGTTGAATTCATAAACTACATGAATGTCTCTGGAAGTCCATCAGCTCACTGTGCACTGCTGAAATCTGTCAGCACATAAAAAAATTCATCCTGAGGCCCAGAATCCAAGGATATTCAACATCCAGGGAACTGCTGCCTCCACGAGTGCACGTTTGGCAGTTGTGAGGTTGGTTGTGGAGATATTTTCCAGTGTGGAAAAGAATATCAGGATCTGGCCCTAGTTCTGTGCAAAGAGATCAGTGAGTACTGAGGCTCCTCAGCAGTTTAATTGTATCCTGTCCTGTGAACAACTGTTGTAAGGAGCAAATAAATGCATTTTTTACATATGCATGTAAAGTGCTCTTCTGCCATTCTAAAATGATTTTCCAACCTCTCCTGTACCAAGTCAAGCTTCACTTAGTCCATGTGTAGCAGCAAAATTGGTTTTGCTGCTGTAAGAGTAAGCAAATAATTTTTTGAAATATCTAGACAAAGATATCCATGATAACTATTAATATGTGCTGTTCCAGAGTGTGTAAGAAGCTGGGCATTTTGCTCTTGTTGAGAGTCAGCACTTCAGTTTTTGGGAAATCTCACCTAAACTTATGTGGACCCTTGCTGGGAGACTATAAAGTCATGGAAAATCATTAATTGTTATTGCTGACAGTGTCTGGCTTAGAGGGATTCTGAGCTGCCAGTGGTTGAGGCTGGGTGAGTGTCTGAGGAGTGGATATGATTGCTCTGTTCTTATGCTTCCCTGAATATTCCGAATTTTGGGACTCAAAATGTCACCTCCAGCTCCCAGATTCCTCTTCCCTAGTAGAGGAATGATTACAGGAAAGACAACATCACTTTCCTGTTAATCTTGCTTTTTTCTTCTTTTAAAAATTCCCCTTTTACATCAAATAATACAGGACTGTGCAGCATCCCATCCTCTTGTATAACTATAGAACTCTAAATAGTAAATCACTGGATAAATCACTACTGAAATTAATTTTAGAGTTATCTTTTATTACACTGTGACTTAATTAACCACCAGGACCAGCAACAGGATGTGAGTTTATCTGCAGCAAGTCTAAAGATAAATCTAAAGTCTCCAGATCATGCTGGAGACAAAAAATATAAAGAAGAGCTGAAAACCCAAGAATAGAACAAGACACAGAAAAACAAGCAACAAATACTCTCTCAATAAGCCATTATGATTGGCCATAGCTACACAACCATTTCAAAATTCTCCATTAAGTATCTGTTATAGAAAAAAAAAAAAGTGATTTAATGTCCTTGGACAGCCCCTGTTAGAAGTGGGAGTGTTTGAATCTCATTCAGGGGTTTGTCTCTGTTCCTTCTCCTTATAATTTGGTTAATTCACTAAAATGAGGAAATCAAAATCTTTTCAAAAGATGACAAATACAGAAAATGCAACTTTTAGTCTGAGCAAACATTTGGATGCTGGTTGCAGGATTTTGCAGGGATTGCTATTGGAAAATAGTAATGCAAAATGCTGACTGTGCCTTTTAAATAAAACATTTTTACTCAGCTTTTGAAAGTCCTCCAATAAATAATAGGGAAACTTCGGGATTACCTGGAAACCAGGAATAGTGGGGAGCAGATTATTTCCTAGAATGAGTTCCATGCACTCTAAGAAAACTGAAGCTTCCATCCCACATCCTGTTTCTTTCCTGAGTTAAGGAATTCAGAGTATTTGTTTGCCAGCAGGTCAGAATAAAACCAACCAAAGTACCACCAAAAATGTCATTTTAGAAATATGGCACTGCCAGCACACTCCTTCCTGACCTTCTCTGAACACAGTAGAGCTTCTAACACTGCTTTTTTTTCCTGATTTCTTTTTTAAAATTGATCTTAATGTAATACCTAAAGCCTCCCCAGGGAGTTCTTAAGGACTCTTTTGTACACATGGAATTGCAGGTGTGGTATTTTTCCAGCCTGAAGAGGGCCAGAAACTCTGACAGATCTACAGAAAATGCATTTACAGCATTTTGACAGGTTTTTAACATTTCTTTTAACTGATACCCTGTTTAAGAGGAGAAGAAAAAGAACCCAAAGAAAATTTTTTTTTTCTTTCTGAAATCACATTTTTGGACTTCATTAGAATCCTTTCTTTAGAGATACAGGCCAGAAAGGAGAGCAAGTCACAAAAGTGCACTAAACTTAAAGAGATTGCAACTAAATTAATTGAGAAAATAATATTAATCTGAGGGCATCAGAATTGTTTGTGCATTTGCAGAGAACTTATTAAAACACAGAAAAGATGCCTTCAAATATTGCTTTTTTTTTTTGGTATAAGGATTAACATCCCAGTGTCCTGAACTTCAGAAAGAGATTGATTGTGTAAAAAAATAGAGCTGCAGGTTGTTTTGTAGTGTGAACACTCCATCCTAAATAAGTGAAATATTCGTTGTCTGGAGTTCTCTTTGTTTATTAATTATATCCGTGTGTCTGCCATGATGTTGTTTCTGGTGATTCTCAAAT